AAGAGAAAGGCTTGCAGATACTGGTGATGAATTAAGGAAATCTGCCCATGATTCTATTCTACTATTTTCCTACTAGTAGACTTAAAAGTCCCAAATGGGAGTAGGGAGTGTTGCATTCCACCTTTAATCCTCTTAAACTACTTGGTTTAAGATATCATGGATATCATTACATAATTTCTACATTACACACATTATTTCTGAGGGGCATAATTCAATCCATGCCTCCACCTCAAACTCCGTTACAACTAATTGGCAGTTAATTTAATGGAGATTATTACATCATTATATAATTTTCAAATAACATCATTATATAATTGCCAAACTACCAAGAATCATGGGATATTCAATTTGGTACATATTTTAGGGGACAAGTTTCAATTTGTGATACTCCTAATAACTCCATCTGGTGGTACCACCGTTAATCTTTGTACCCAGCTAATAGTGGTCATGTCTCTTTGTTCTAACCACCAAGACTTCCTTTCTATTGATTCAGCCTCTGGGGAAAGACCACAGAGACTTATTAATTCCTTAGGACATGTATTTGTTTATGGTACTGACAGTGGTTAACCGTGACTTAATTAAGAGAAAAATTTTTCACATTTTCTTTTCTTTTTTTAAATTATGATTTTACAAAAAGGTTTTCCATTCAGGAATATTTTATTATTTAATTAATCATAAATTAATTACAATATCTATTCTACGACCCCATTCTTCCCACTTCCTCCCTGTACTTCTTGGTTCCATTAACCCCACTATTCTACCCCTTCCTGACTTCTGAGTTTTATCCTTGGCAAAGGCTGCCCGTTCACACACATACTGTTAAAATCTAACTTATAACAAATCACATTAACCTACCTCAGAGAAATTGTCATAAAGGGAAAAATGTGTTAAAGGCATTTTAATAATTAAAAAAAAATTGGTGCAACCACTGTGGAAGGCAACATGGCGCTTTCTCAAAAAGTTGCAAATAGAGATACCATTCAACCCAGCTATTCCACTACTGGGACTATACCCCAAAGAGATCATAATTGACATCCAAGGAGATATATGCACACCCATGTTTATAGTGGCTTTGTTCACAATAGCAAGGAATTGGAAACAACCTAAGTGCCCATCAACAAGTGAATGGATAGAGAAGCTCTGGTATATTCACACAATGCAATACTATGCTGTATTGAAAAAGAAGGAACTCATGCAATATTATTCAAAATGGGTGACCCTGGAGGACATTATGCTGAGTGAAGTATCTCAGTCACAAAAGGACAAATACTGCATAGTGCCACTGTTGTACAACAGGACTGACATTGGGGTTGAGGGGAGACTGAGAAAGACGGGTTCAATAATGTATACTGCATTGAAATTGATGAGGGAGTAAACTGTCTAAAAGGGATATGTGATTAGGTATTTTTGTCATGACAGGAGTCCAGAGCAAAGGCTGCATAGTGGAGTGGACCTTGGGGGAGGGATTGTAAAATAATGAAAGAATTTTTCTTTTACTTTTCCAAGAGGGTAGTGTACTATGGAGGAGGGTTGGGAGGGGAGAAAAGTGCAACAATGAATGAATGGAAATCCAAAGTCTGTAAATTTTCACTGAAATTATAATAAATTAAAAAAAGTTATATGGAAAAAAAAATTTAGCAAACATTTTAACAAAGAGACAAGACCCTTTTCCCAGATCCAACAAAGAAAGCAAGCTTTCAACACTTTGAATTCGGGCTTCTACTTTTCCAAGTCGTGAGAAAAATAAATGTATGGCTATTAAAACTACTTACTTGTGGTATCTCTGTTATAGCAATGCAAAGAAAGTAAGACAGAACTTTGCACCAAGAAGTGAGGATGCAGATCTAACAAATACCTAAAATATGGAAGTGGTTTTGCAGATGGATAATGGGTAGAATCTGGAGACATTCTGATGTACTTTGTAATAATGCCCTAGATTGCCTTCAAGAGATTGTTGGTAGAATTAGGGACATTAAGGGTGATACTGTGGAGGACTCTGATAGAACTAAGAGATGTGATAAGAGCAAAGATAATCTTGGACAAAATGTCCCTGGAAATGTGAATGATGTGCTTCTGTTGAGACTTTTAAAACCAAATGATGAAAAGGTGATTGGATATTAGAGGAAAAGTGATGCCTTCAAGTAATGACGAAGTTGCCTCAATTATATTTAAATGTTTGGTGGAAAGTAGAGCTTGTGAGTGATGAATTTGAATACTTATCTAAGAAAATCTCTATGTAAGATCCTAAAAGTGCAGCATGGTTTCTCCTTACTGCTTATACAGGAGGAGATATATAGGTTTTTAAAATGAGCTATGTGAAGTGAAATGAAAGTTTAAAGAGCTGAAAAACTCTATCATACTAAAACATGTGTCCTAGAATTCTCACCAGGTACTTGATGACTCAATCTTTTGTTAAATGGATTAAACGTGATAAATTTATTCAACCACTGAAGCAAAACTTTCATCAGTTCAGACAAGACATGGAGACAGTACTAGATGAAGAAACGCCACCTGACTCCTGAGACTCTGTTCTTTCCCTTTCTGTGCAATATTGTGTTGGAGGTTCTAGGCAAGGTAATTAATTATACAAGAAGAATAAACAAAAGCATCCAAACTGAAAGGGGAAGAGTGAGATAATCTGTGTTTGCAGATAAAATTACCTTGTATATAAAAAAATCCTATGGAATCCATACATAAACACACAGGAAATATTGAAGCAGAGAAACAAATTTAGCAAGTTTTAAGGGTACAAGATCAATATACAAAAAATCAGCTTTACCTCCATATACTGCCAGTGAACAATCTGAACATGCAATTAAAAAATTACCTGCTAAGAATAGCACCAAAAAGAATATAATGCTTACAAATAAAATCAACAAGGAAGTACAAAAACAGTATATGGAGAAGTACAAAATATCATGGAAAGAAATTAAAGGAGATCTGAAAACTCTGAAAATAAGATATAGGTATGGAGAAGAAGAGTGGATATTGTTTAAGATGGCATTACTACCCAAACTTATTTACTGTTCAACACATTGTCTATTAAAGTCCTACATGGCTTTTTTGCATAAATTGACAAATTCATTCTAGCACTCACATGAAAATGCAAGAGACCAAGAGTACAGAAATTAATCTTGAAAATGACAAACCAAGTTGGAGAACTCCCATTTCCCAATTTTAAAGCTTATTGCAAAGCTACAGTAACCACAGCAATACGAGACTGGCATAAAAATAGACATATATGACAAAAAAGACATACACGGAGTGGGAAATAATTGACTTATCCAGGAATAAATCCATATAATTCTGATTAATTTTTTCAAAAAGAAACAGGTAAATAAAAACTGGAACTGTCTTATACTGCTGCAGAAACGTAAAAAGGTCTACCTGCTTAAGAAAATATTTCCTCAAAAAGTTAAATATGTACTTATCATTTGATTCAGCATTTATACTCTGAGGTGTTTACCCAAGGGAAATTAAAACAATATTCACACAAAAACAATATTTATAGTCATATTATTTATACTAGGCAAACTATGGGAAAAGTCCAAATGTCCATCTCATGAATAGATAAACAAAATGTAATATATTTATTAATGTGGGATATTATTAAGCCATATAAAGGAATTGGGTATTAAAGTATGCTATAAATGGACAAAATTTGAAAACATTGTGTCAAGGGAAAGAAAGCAGAAAAGCCTATATAATGCACAATTCCATTCATATGGATAAGCAAATCTTCAGAACAGGCACTAGAAAGTAGATTTGCCCCCTCTGTAGACTGGGAGCAAAGAAAACAAGGGGAGCAGATAGGATGTCACTACTAATGGGCTGTTGTTGCCTTACTGACCCTCCAGTGGGGTTTCTGAAGGTATAAATCACATAGAAGGATACTGCCTATCCTCCCACTACACATCTGGAGGATTCCAACCCAGTGACTTTGGGATTGCAGCGCCTCTTCTTATCACTAGGCCACTGGAGCTCCCTAAGGCGTAGGGTTTTCTGTAGGTAGAGCTCTGGTGGCCTAGTGGCAAGAAGCGGCACTGCAATCCTGAAAGCAAGTAGCTGAGGCCACCAGCTGCTCCGTAGGAGAAGGCTGGACAATCTCCTCCCGTGCGATTAACTGCCTCTGAAAACCCGCTGGAGGGTCAGGGTCAGCTATGGGTCAGTTCCGACTCGATGGTACACAACAAACAACAACAGTGATAAAAATGTTCTGGAATGAAATAGTGCTAATGTATACAAGTTTATGAATACACTAAAAACAACATTTGCCCTTTAAAAGGATGAGTTCGGAGTATGTGAATTTTATCTCAAAAAAAGGGAGGGGAGAAGTAGGCCATTAGAGGCTGCATCTCCCCACACACGTCACACTCTCCACACTCCGAACCACAGCCCCTCCGCTCCACAACTGTGGCAAAAGCCACTGGCTCCACTGAGAGGGATCGGTGCACTTGAGTCCTGTATGCCGTGTTCCAGAGGTATGCTGGACAGGATGGTCACATCCCCACCTTCTCCTAGGGAGAGTTCCTGACCTTCGTAAATATAGAACAGGGTGCCTTCACAAAGAACTAGAAGGAACCCTGTGTCCTTGACCTCAAGACGAAGGAACTGGACTCAACTCTGACCAGCAGCTAGATTTCCAAGAATTTCTTAATCTTGTTGGCGGACTTGCTCAGGCCTACCATGGCTCAAGCATGTACACTAGCAAACCTGAGATGCCCGTGAGCCTGGCCTCCAAGGAAACCCTTTCCCTCCAGACCCCGAGTCACTGGGGACTTCGCACAGCCCACACACACCCTGACCTAGCACACCCATAACCTCGTGCAGGCCACCCTTGCTGGTACTAATAAAAAATCTGGTTTCTTAAAAACAAACAATAGAGAAAGAGTTACTTCTGTTCCCTTGGGCCTTTTAACTTCCTCAATTCTTTATTGCTGTCAGAACCACTGAGCTAGCTTCTGAGGGTTTGTGCAATGCCAACCAAACACTAAGTTTACCTCAGTTCCTGTTTCTCTCCAGTCCCAAGCCCGACTGCCCCCTGGCCACACTTTGCAGTCCTTGTAGGTTTTAGCACAACCTTGTACTTTCATCTGTCCCCAGGACAGAGAAGCAATTTCAGGGGAAGACATAGGAGCTTAATTGAAATCTGAAATAAAAAGAAAAATATACTATATTAGTTATGAAGTTATGTTTAAGGAGATTCAAAAGTATAAGGATAGACAGTTCTGGGTCCCTATAATTTAGGAAACATCTTTGTCATTGATGCATTTGGCACTTCTTCTATAGAGGTCTAAACAGTAAACCGTTATCCATGGGGAACTGAATCACCCAGCAATGCAAACCAGATACACACACTTAGCAGATTCAGGGGGAAATCCTTGAGATATTTTTGAGAGATATAAATGAAAAGGTGCAATTTATTTTGGCATGATAGAACAAAAAGATTGACACATTTTCTCCAAAAGAAAGAAGTATAAAACTGGAGAACACTGTCAAGAAAAAAACTAGTTAAATACTTTAGAAATCAGCTAAAGGCATATTATAAAGTGAGAAGCATTTATTTATTAAAACCAATTCATAAAAATCCCACCCCACCAATTCATATAAAGCAGCAATACACCTTAAATTGTGGCAAAGCAGTTCAAAAGAAATCGAGGAAGAAAATAAACAATCCAAAATTGCCTGAGTTGAAGGAGTAACTAGGAAGTGGACTCATGCCTTATAGTTATCTACTGTATAAGCTCCTTCACTATTGGTGGTTGTTGTATACCATTGAGTTCTAGCTGAGCCTTAGCTGACCCTCCAGTGGGTCTTTAGAGGCAGTTAATAGCAGCAGGGAGATTCCAGATTGTAGCACAGCTTCTTGCTAATGGGCCACCAGAGCTCCCTTCATTATTGATAATCATAGGTAATTATACCCTATTTTTTTAGAATATCAAAGAGAATAGCCTATCATGTTAATATGTTCCATTTCCAATTGAGTTAGTATTGATTAGAAAACAAATATTTATAATAAAAGTTAGCTAAAAGACTTGTTCATTTTCCACCCAATTATTTTGGTCGATAGCAAGTAATTCTGGGTTGGAAGGTGTAGTTTTAATGGGATCCTCACTAAGCCTTTCTATATTTCACCAGTGGCCATCCTCTGTGCTTAAACATCTCCTGGCTTTTTATTATTTATTTTTAATTCTGGACGACATTTACTTTGACTGCACAGCCAAGTTCAGAATGGGTAAGTGAGAAGAACTGAAGAGACAGACCATTACATGGTATCTTTTTATCCATTGTTTTAAGGAAGTTTATTGTTAAATGTACAATAGGCTCCAAGACGACACTTCATTTTAACGACAGGTGGCAACAGATGTTATAGCAGAGAATCCAGATGTTTTAAACAGAAATGGAAGTAAGACTCATCATTACCTCAGTGACAAAGAACATTTTTTTTGCCAGATTCCTTAATTTCAAAAGTTGCCAGGGCATTTTTGCCTGTGGCTGTCACTTTTAGCTCCTTGAGTTTCTTCTGTTCTTCTTATTTCTGCTTGAAAGCCTCATCTTCCTTGTTCATTCCCTTGGTCAGCTTGGATTGTTTCTAAGGACTTCTTGTTGCCACCTTCCTGACTAGACATGGCACCAGCTGCCCCTTCCCTAGACCTGCCCCCAAAAGGTGACCTCCTGAGCCCCCTGTGCCTCCACCAACCTGGCTTATTCTTTTAATATACTGCCACTAACTTAGAATTGTGTGTGTCCTCCTACTGAAATCTTCCAAGTAGGGTGCAAGCTCCTTAGGGACAGGGATGTTGTTTTGCTATTCTCAGCATTCACTTTGTTCTAAGTGTTGGATGCTTACAAAATTTTAACATTACAGAATAAGAATAAATAAAGCAAGCAAACAAAAACCCTCCACTGCCATTGAGTCCAATGTGACTCATAGAGACCTTACAGGACAGTAGAACTGCCCCTGAGGTTTCCAAGTCTGTAAATCTTTAAGCAGATTGCATCATTTTCTCCTGGGAGCACACAGTGTGTTCAAACCACCAACCTTTCAGTTTGACCAGTATGCTACCAGAAAGAGGACAAATATCATGTCATATTATACCACATACCTTTTAGACCATATTCTTCTTGACATTGAGGCTCAATGTCAAGAAGACAAAAATTCTCACCACTGGACCAATTGGTAGCATCAGGATGGATGGCGAAGAGATTGAGATTGTTCACAGCTTCAGTTTGCTTGGCTCCACAGTCAACACTCTTGGCACCAGTAGCCAGGAAATCAAAAAATGTATTGCGATGGGAAAGTCTGCTGTTAGGGACCTCTCCAAAATACTCAAGAGCAACAGTGTCTCTCTGGAGACTAAGGTCCGCCTGATACAGGCCATGGTTTTTGCAATCACTTGTTATGCATGGTACTGAATGTACCATGGACTGCCAAGAAACCAAACAGATTCATCGTAGAGAGGATTAAACCAGGCTGCTCCTTGGAGGCAAGGATTCTGGGGCTTCGTCTGACATACTTTGGACATGTTGTCAGGAGGGACGGGTCTTTAGAGAGGGACATCATGCTGGGTAGAGTGGAGGGACAGCGCAGGAGGGGAAGACCCTCTATGAGGTGGATTGATTCGGTGACTGGGGATGGGTGTGTCAGAGGCAATGAGATTGGCACAGGATAGAGTACGGTTTAGGGCTGTTGTACATGGGGTCGCTATGAGTCACAAACGACTCGACAGCACATAACAACAACAACTCTCTATTCATTGCATTGCTTTCTACAGATCATTCTAGGAAAGGTTTTAGATGAAATACAGAGGCAAGAGTAAGAATGTTGTTGTTATGTCCCATTGAATCACTTGCAAGTCATAGTGACCATTTGCTCTGAAACATGCCCTGTTGTTGATGTTGTTAGGTGCCATTGAGTTAAGTATGACCCAAAGCGACCCTATGAACAAAAGATCTGAAACCAGTCCTGTCCTGTGCCATCCTCACACTTCCTGACACACAAGAGCCCATTGTAGCAGTCAATTCACCTGATTGAGGGCTTTCCTCTCCTTCACTGGCCCTCCCCCCTTCCCAACATCATGTCCTTCTCCAAGAAATAGCACTTCTTAGCAATGTGTCCAAAATATATTAGGTGAAGTCTCATCATTCTTGCCTCCAAAGAACACACTGCCTGCACCTTCTCAAAGACATATCTATTTGTTTTTTTGGCATCCAAGTGCTCTTCTCCAATATCACAGCTGAAAGGCATCAATTTTTTTCCCCCTGTCATTCATATTCATTGTCCAGGTCTCAGAAAGACCATGGCCTGAATTAGATGCATCTTGGTCCTCAAACTGACATCATTACTCCTCAATAATTTGCAAAGATATCTAACTGCAGATTTTCCCAGTGCAATGCTTCTCCTTATTTCCTGACTGCTTGTACAAAGGGTGTTAATTGTGGATCCAAGCAAGATGAAGCTGTTGACAGTTTCAATCTCCTCGCCATCCATCATGACACTGCCTATTGGTCCAGTGGTAAGAACTTTGTTTTCTTGATATTGAGCCACAATCCATACTGAAGGTTGCATTCCTTGATCTTCTGCAACAAGTGCTTCAAATCCTCCTCACTTTCAGCAAGGAAGTTTGTGTCATATGCATAACGCAGGTTATTGATGGGTCTCCCTCCAATCCTGATGCCACACTCCTCTTCATAGAGTCCAGCTTCTCGGATAATTTTCTGGGCATATTGATTTAACAGGTATGGAGACAAAATACATCCCTGATGCATTTCCTTCCCAATTCCAAACCATGCAGTGCTCCCCTGCTCTGTTTGCACAAGAGTCTCCTGGTCCAAGTTCCTCATGAGCACAATCAAGTGCTTTGGGATTCCCATTCTTATCAATGTCAGCCCAATTTGCCATGATCCACACAGTCAAATGCCTTGGCATAGACAAAACCTGAACTATCCTGAGTCAATATTATCATCTCCCACAGACCTAATCACATTGCTCTAGTCACTGAGTCAATCCATCTCATTCAGGGTCTTCCTCTCCTGCTCTGTCCTTCACTCTTCCAAGCATGATGTCCCTCTCTAAGGATTGGAATTTCTTGGCTACATGCCCAAAGTACATGAGAGAGAGCCTTAAAATCCTTGCCTCTAAGGAACAGCCTAGTTTCACCCTCTCCGGGACAGACCTGTTTATTCTCCTGGTAGTCTATGGTACTCTTTTCCAGCACCACAACTCAAAGGCATCAATCCTTCTTCTATCATTCTTAGTTATTATCCAGCTCTCAGATGAATACAAAGTAATGGCGAATACGATGGCCTGCGTCAGATGCACCTTCATCCATAGACTGATATCATTGGTTTTCAGTACTCTAGAGAGGTCCCTGACAGCAGACTTTCCCAGTGCAATTTGTCTTTTGATTTTCTGACTTCTGGTGCCAAGAGTGTTGATTGTTTTTCTGACTGCTGGTGCCAAAAGTGTTGATTGTGGAACCAACCAAGCTGAAGTTATCAACAATCTCAATCTCTTCTCTATCCATCATGAAGTTGTCAATTGGCCCAGTGTTGAGAATTTTTTTTTTTTGATATTGAGTTTCAATCTATATTGAAGATTACAGTCCTTGACCTTCTGCAGCAAATGCCACGTCTTCTTCAGTTTCAGCAGGCAAGGTTCTGTCATCTGCATAACACAGGTTGTTGATGAATCTTAAATGAGTAGATGAAAAATGAATCTATTAATAAATCACATTATTAATAAATACAATTATAAATTAGTAGGATAAAGAGGATTAAAAAGTTAAAGGATTATATTTTTTTACCTTTAAAATATTCTATGGAAACTAAAAATATAATCTTACCTGGCTGTCATAGTTATACAGTTATTTACCGAACACAGACCTTCTGAGATTATGCATTATAAGTATGTATACAATGGCCCAACAGAAGTATAATTTTTGTCCAGGTGTACAGTGTAATAATACATTACTCACTACTTAAAAAGACTGAGTTTATACAACATGTAGGCAGCACTCTACCAGACACTGAGTGGAATATGAAGATTAAAGATGCCCCTCTTTAAAAATTACAACATAGTGTGTTGTATGCCATGGTGTTGGAACTGTCTCATAACTGACCCTCAAGTGGGATTCAGAGGCAGTAAATC